TACCAATAACCCTCCCTCCCAGTATACTCCTATCATGTATAATCAACACTTATTACCTTTACACTCACCTCATACTCTCTTCAAATTTCTTGGATGTTGGTTTACGCTCAACAACAAATTTTCAAAACAAACACAACTTATTATTGAGGAATTATTACACCTTATTCAAATTGCAGAAACTAAACATATTACTGACACACATGCCCGATATGTATATGTTATTACCCACTTTGTGGGTAATAACTGATTTATTTCCAGGTTCTTATTATACTTCCATACTATTTTTTTTTAATTAAAGTAACGTAATTCACATAGTTTAAATTTATATAAAAAAAAATTCAATCAGAAAAATTTTTTTTTACAATTTTATAACTTTTGTCATGTCAAGTTTTATTTCTGCCCATGAATTAGTTAAAACAAACACTGTATTAAATACATCAAATGAATATGAAGACATTAATAGAACTGAAGACAATATTCAGTGATATATAAAGAAATCAAAAATTCAAAATACTGACGCTTGTACACAAAAGTGGGTTCGAATCTTGCAGAACTATCATCAAAAAAAGAATATTTCTTATGATATCCAAACTCTAAATGATAAAGAGCAACTTGAACATGAATTATGCAAATTTTTTGCTGATATTAAGTGACAGGATGGAAAACCTTATAAAGTCGAGTCAATTGTATTAGTCTACACCTCTCTTTGACGATTTCTGTATGAAACTTCAGTAATTAAAAATGTTAACATTAATGATCGGTTTCAATTTCCTATTTTATACCGGGTTGTGAATGGAAAATGTATGGAATTACAAGACCAAGGATATGGTGAAACTGATAAATCAAAAGGATTAACAAAAGAAGAAATTCATCAGATTTTATTGTATCTTAACTCAGGTGACCAAACAGCAATGCGACTTACACAAAAAGCATTTTTCTGGAATGCATACTTACTAGGATTATGTGGTGGTGATCATTTTCGACTTCTCTTAAGTTGCTTTGATTTTCAATCAGATGAAAGCATGATTTTTACAATAGGACATGAGAAAAACAATCAGGGTGGACTTCAAGGTCAAAATAAATATAGAAAATTTTCTAGCCAACATATACATATTCCTGCAGATTTGCCAAACAATGAATTTAAACCTATACAAAATCTTCAGAGTTATGTAAATTTGCGTCCTGCAGATGCATGTGAATGTTTTTATTCTAAGAGTGTAGTATTATCAGCTGTGCATAATTGTTTAAGATAAAGTAGCTTAAGTTTTCTGAGTTGGTGTTTAAAGGTAGAGTATTTGAAGTTTGTTATAAATATCTTTTCAAGTGGTTAAAAGTTGTATTAGATTGTGTTAGGCTATATAATATTAGAATTCACTATTACAAATATTTTAAGGTATATTAGGAGCTGAAAAATTTTAAAGTTAAGTGTGAGTCTGTTTGGACCGTCTATTATAGATTGTGGGTATTGAAGTATATTGATTATAATTTTTAATTTTTAATAATTATTTTAGTAGTATAAAAAATATCTAATATTTTTAACTATAAAAATATAAATTTTGTAAATCTTTGTAACAAAAATTTATAATTTATAAATAATATTTAATGTTTGATAAATATCTAAAATTCTTCTAATTTAAAAATACTTTATTAAATTATTTAAAGAATTTATAATTTTAAAATAAAATTTTAAATAATAAAATATTAAATAAATAAGTAATTATATATATAAATAATATTTCTTAATTTTGTAGGCTATTTTTAGAGGAGAATGATGTAAGTAAACAGGTGGGTTTAAGTGGAAGACCAAGATAATGATAGTTAGACTAAATATATATAGCAAACTATGGAATCTTTTACAGCTATAGAACTGAGCTTAAAACAGCGAGTGAACCTTCAAAAAAACTTCCATCCAAGTCATTACCAATATCATTAGACCTCTATAACTTGGAAATATATTATAACAAATTTCTTATCTACTTAAACTCCCTCTTCTAAAAGAACCACAAACTATCAACTTCTTTCTACAACATCTAATACAAAATAATGCTAAGCATTATTAATACTGTTCTACAATACATTCCTAATAAAAAATTTGCAATATAAAACTTTTAACATATATATTTATCTAAAGTATCACAATTATGTCAACATCTCAAAAAGCTTGATAATATTATCTGTCAAGTTAATGCATCACTCAAAAACAAACTATTATACCTTTTTAATATAGTCCTACTATTAACCAGATTAATAGTACTCACCAACTAAATATTTTACATATATCTAGTAAATATACTCTTTTTGCAAACTGGCTAACTGCTTGTAATGATGAATAGAAAGCATTATATCATGCTCATAATATTGAAAACATTAAGGAAATATGTCAACAAATT